CAGTGTTTTCAGGATTACCACACCAAACTCAACTTTTAGCAGTTCGAGTGAGTAAAAAAATATTATTTATCATAATTATATTAAAAAATATATATAGTTTTGTTCTTCGTTTCATTATGAATATTTCTGTGAAAATTTTATCTCAATATACGTATTTTTGCGAGCGTTACTAAGTTTTTCATGGATAAGAGAATTTTTCTGTTTAATAATTAAATACCCCGTCGGTTTGGTGGTAGGAAAAGATTTAAATACTATCCGTCGCGGAAGGGTTAAGAAGATGCCAGGATCATCAGCGGCCGAAGAAGAAGCATTTAAGGGAAGCGGTGGGTGTTTCGAGAAGTTTAAGAGAAGAACCGGCATCCACAGCGTTGTAAGGCATGGTGAAGCAGCAAGCTCCGACACAAAGGCAGCAGAGAAATTCATAGGTGACTTCAAGAAGCTCATGGATTCTGAGGGTTACCTGCCGCAGCAGGTTTTTAATTGTGATGAGACAGGTCTCTTCTGGAAAAAGATGCCGAAGCGAACCTATATAACAGCAGAGGATAATGCATTGCCCGGCCATAAGCCAATGAAAGACCATCTCATGCTGCTATTTTGTGCCCATGCAAGCGGCGATTTGAAAATTAAACCGCCGCTTGTCTACCATTCAGAAACTCCATGAGCCTTCAAGAAGTGTAAAGTCCAGAAGAGCAGGCTAAATGTGATGTGGAGGTCCAACAACAAGGCTTGGGTGACATGTGACCTTTTTACTGATCAGATCAATGAAGTGTTTGGTCCTTCTGTAAAAAAATATTTGCTTGAGATGAATCTGCCACTCCATGTCTCACTTGTTATGGACAATGCTCCTGCCCATCCTCCAGACCTACAAGATGACCTCCTTGAAGAATTTAAATTCATCAAGATCCAGTTTATGCCTCCCAACACCAGTCTGTTACTCCAGCCTGTGGACCAGCAGGTTATATCTAACTTTAAGAATCTGTACACTGAAGCACTCTTCGAGTGTTGTTTTGAGGTGACTGAAGGGACCAATCTCACTCTCAAAGAGTTTTGGAAATATCACTTCCACATCGTTGCCTGCCTGAGGATGATCAGAAAGGCGTGGGAAGAGGTTACCAAGAGAAACGAGTGTTTCGCATTACGAGTAAGATTCTGGAACGAATTATGCTCGTTAAGCGAGGTTCCGCTATATATGTAATTATCCCTGAATGGAATTTGATATTAAAATTACCTCTCTGTTCATCATTTGGTTAATGAAGACCTGCTCTCTCATTTTGGATCTGAATATATTTATAAGAAGAAAATACCTTAGATAAACAATTATGGTATTTTTATTTATATTACATGATATCTATTTAAACAGTTCCTGGCTACAGATTCAGAGGTCCGGGTTTGATTCCCGGTGCTACCAGATTTTCTGAGAAGTAGTGGGTCTGGAACGGGGTCCACTCAGCCTTTTGAGGATAACTGAGGTATTTCAAAGAAATAATGGCTCCGGTCTAGAAAACCAAAATTAACGGCCATGGGGATTCGTTGCACTGACCACGTGACACTCTCTATCTGCTAAAGTTGGCACTAACTTCTCCTGACAAGCAGCAGTCACTCAGTCAGTATAGTTTGCATGCTGACAAAAACCATGGAGTTTGTCTGTTTTGATATCTATTTATGTGCTGCTTGCTTCAGGTTGAGCAACCTTTTTAAATATTAGTTAAATGATGACATGTGTAATAGGCAGTCCTGATTATCATGATCAGATAATGAGAATCTTTGGGTACAGTTAAATATTGTTACAAATACATTTGCAATGATTTAATAGTGTAGATTCACAATTTGTGTTCTGTTTATTAAATGTCAACCTCACTGTTGAGACTGCAGCTGGTACTTGGCAAGTGAACTGAAATTGCAGTAAAGAAATGTTCTCCCCCCAAAATAAATTCCTTCAGTATTACCCACGCATGTATGAGCACAGTATTGCAGTGTCATATTAAGATGCCCGTGTGTCTCCTTATTCTTCATTTGGTTTTTTCTTTTAACTTGAGAAGTACTAAAGGGAGTCCTGAATAGAAAGCATACCTTCAGGTAGCTGGGGGAAATGTAATTTGCAGGCATTCTTTCCTTGCACTTCATAATAGAATTCTTGCTAGTCTTTGTTTCACTCAGAACACACGTGACACCATTTGTACTTTCCATGCACAAGCCAATAATCAGAGTGCCTCACGAATAAGTTGGCAGGTATTCTCAGGAGTTTGTCTGAGGTTGTTTTGCTATACTGATTTCAGTCAGATTTCTACCATGTTTGGTCAAAAATCTCCACAGAATAATTTACATCTAGTAGTCAAAAGGAGAATCCAGCTGTTCAAAAGAGCAAAAGAACGATTTTTTCCTCCATTTCTACATGTGGTAGCTGATTGGTAAGCTGTTTCTTGTGCCAATTATAGTTGGCAGCAAGAGCTGCAGAGCACAACTTTATATGAGCAATATGCAAATAATCGTTAATTTTATAATTCTTACTAATTTTCGCAGAATTTTTAAATAAATCAATAAAATCATAAATTGGACTAGAAGATTTACTTGTATGTTCTACCCTAATGGCAATATATGCTCACTTCTCATATTTTTATAATTATAGGAGAGGATATTGTGTTCTTAGCAACAGACATCAATCTGCCAGGAGCAGTGGACTGGGTTATGATGCAGTCATGCTTCGGCCATCATTTTATGTTAGTACTTGAGAAACAAGAGAAGTTTGATGGACACCAACAATTCTTTGCTATAGTACAATTGATTGGATCAAGAAAACAAGCCGAAAACTTTGCATATAGGTAAGTACTTTTAAGAGGTTATGCTAGTAGCTGTATTCATATTGGATGCAATTATCATTTAATGATACAAAAGGTGACTGAAACTGACAAAACATTTCCCTATTGGTAGCATACATTGACGTTAATGGAAAGCCTCCCTTTTGATATGCTGGGTGGCAGGCTAAACAACAGATGCATGATAAGTAGAATTATTATTTGCTACGTGTTTGGAAATAATGGAAAGTCAGAACAAAGCAGACATATTGTACATTGTTTTTACCGACTTTCTTCCCCATGTAAATGGTGTATCTTCCAGTTTCATCTGCATGAGAAGTGTATTTTTCAGATGAGGTAAAATTTTATTACAGTGAACTCCAATAAGGTTACAGAAACGATAAAAGGAAGTTTAATTGTAAAGAAACAGTGTAACTATGTTCACCTGTCTTTCTGATCATATTGTCATATGTATCTCGTTTCATAATTCCAAGCTAAATGTTTTGAGAACATTTTAATATTTCAAACTGGATTTTCTTTCAGTGGAAACTTCACTTTTGCTCATTTGAAATTTATCATTATCATTAGAAGTTGGTGTTTTGGTCAAATGCTGATTTTCTGTAAAACTGCATTTATAGTGGTAAATTAAGAGTTACTTCAACTTCATTATTTTCAGTTAAAATATTTACAGGTATGGGTTCAGTTACAGCTAATGTGCTGCTGCCATAATATACTTTGTTACCGTTAAGCAGTTGGGAGAATACATGTTTCACAACCATTTCTTACATAAGTAATGTCTCAAATCTGCATGTATTCCAGTTCAGAACAACCGATAACATAATGCATGTGTTGTAGGAAAGTTCCTGGACTAGGTCAAGAAATAAATGCTGGCTTAGCTTACTCAATTTTGGTTGCCATCTCCACTGCGATGAATGTTACTTTGTTTTCTAAATCATAACAATAAATCCAACTTTCATCACCTGTTATGATCCTAGAGATAAAAGTTCGGCCCTTGTTAGCCTTCTCTCATAGCTAAAGAGAGATGCTTAGGCACTGCTGCTTTTGATCATTTATCAAGAGTCGGAGAACATACTTTGCAGCAGTGTGGCACATATTGAAATTTCCTGTTAAGCTCTCCTGGCAAACTCAATAATTGATCCCCAATGGTGTCTGCAAGCTCATGGATTGTTTAGTGATGGTATATCAAATTTTCTCAACAATTTCTGTCTTTTTTGCTCGTGCTTGATCTCCCTGAACATTTGTCATGTTCAGCTGACACCTTAGTGGCCTTGAAACGTGAATGCCATTCAAAACTGCTCTCTGGCTTAATGAATGTTCTCCAAAAGCCTCACAAATCATTTCGGTGATTTTGGTAGTGGATTTACCAAGCTTCATGCAAAACTTGATGCAGGCAGGTTGCTCCCTTTGCCATCCATCACAGACAAATTGAAACACAAAGTCAGAAATACATTCATATAAAAACAATGAGTGTTCACAGCGTGGTGTCACATGGCAGACTGATGCAGTAGGCTTGGCCTCCTTTCTCATCTTATTTCACCAAGGCAGATACAACACTAACAGTCTGGGAACTTTCCAATACACCTCATACATCAGATATTAGTTAGATTTAAGTTGGTTGATGTGGTGGTTTGTCACTCCAATTTGATATGAGTCAGCACATTTATTGTCACATCTATGTATGTCCAGGGAATTGTTAGGGGAATGTGGATGGGACTTGTGTGCATGCAGCAAAGATATAGTGGAACTTTCACTTTTGAAAGGACAGCTCCTAATTAACCGTCATTTGCGAGTAGAAAAGGTTATGTAAGTTTAAAAAACTGACCCTTCACTTTAGATAATGCTCATGATGTTGAGAATGCTGAATTATTCTTCGTTACTTTCATATTCCTATGATAACCACTCCAGAGATGAAGTATTGCTATGCCTGCATTATTCTTCAGACCTTGGTGCCGTATTGTGCTATATGTAATTGGAAGTTATGTGCTGGAGAGTGGGAGCCACAAGAATAAACATTTTGTCTACCATGTATTATGTTACCATTTGTCTCTGAAATGGTGAAGCCAACTGTCACACTGTATGTGGCCCAGTATGATTTGGGATCTGCTGTCTTGTGGTGGTGGGTTGTGATTGCAGAATGCAAATATTTCAGAATCTTAAGAAAATTATCATGTGGCATTGCACTGGAATAGAAAGGGATGCAATAGAATTTGTCGGTCGTCCACCATAGCTTTGTTCTAGGTTTGTGGTCATGGCCCATCTGAACTGTAATTGTAAGAAATGCATATAAGCCCTTCATGCTTATTTTCTGGGAATCTGGGCTGTCTGGTTTGTTTCTTGCTGCATATAGCAGTTGGGCTCTAGTACAGTAACTAGTAGAATGGTTTGAAAATACTGCAGAAAGTAATCTAGAAGTTGTGAATTTTCAGAAGTATTTGAAGCAGCAGTTTTATTTATTCTGGTGCACATCTGCCTGCTCAGAGGAATGCTTATGGCACCATTCTAAATTTTGGATCTTGGAGTCGATTATCTTCAGTCTCTTTTTCTGGGTCAACATCAGCATATTGCTCTTCAGCATCATCTCATACACATGCTAAACCATCTAAAAGTATGCACACTTCAAAAGCCCCGTCATACTGATTATGGGTTCACACTTCCACTGAAAGTATTGTCACATGTAGGGGAGTACGAATGACGAAATGGTGGGTTCTAGTTTGGATGATTTGATTTGTTAGCACCTTGTTTACACACTCTTTTAATTACACTCAAATTTCAACACTATCACTGATTTACACTCACTTCATGATTCACTGTCACACAATAGTCCTCTCTTGGTAATGGATCTCAACACAGAAACTAGCACTCAAATCACTACAAATATTTCACCTAAAATGTTCCAATTACACTTCCAGTATCACTGCATCGTCACACACATAAAGTCTTGGAGTCATGGAATAAGTCTTCACTGCTGACTTCTCAGGTATCACTCCCTATCACATATTACACATAAAATCATGCAGTCACACTTTACACCCTCACAGGCTGATCTCCTGTATTCTTCTGTACTCCATTCCACCACTAGTTCTGCTGCTTGGTTTTGTCTGGTCTGGCCCTAGTCATGTAGCTTTGAATCAGACAGTGCAGGAACATCGTGATCAACAGTACTGTTGCGTCATCCGAGCATCAATAACATCATGATGGTACTTCGCACAGGAAACATGTCACATGTTCATCCCGAATAGCCTAACAGTGTATCACCTGTTCTTCCTTCTGAGGTCTGTGCTTGTGGCATCTGCTTGTGCTTCAGTCTTTCCTGCAGTGACCACACTCCAACTGCTACATTGCTCCCTCCTTAAGGCCAGCTCATCCCAAGTGGTTTGCTGCTAACATGCTCATAGATCCAGTTGTGTCACAATCATACAAAGTGTTTTTCCTTTCTCTCTCCCTCTCTCTCTTTCTCACACACACACACACACACACACGCCAATGGGGTCCATAACTCCTAGAGTGGCCAGTGCTCCCCCGTATCCAGCTCTTACTCTGTATGCAGAAAATACATTTTATACGTCTACTTCTTTATGTAAAGATATTGCTGAAACCTGGAAGAGTAGAATGACAGGCTGTGTTTGGGCTGGCCATGGCCACTTAACACATGGCATCGAAAGGGTCCCTTAGTACAAAGATATGGGACTGTCAGTATATCAGACATTCAGCTGCTTTACAAGTACCTCAAGCATTGATATGTCAGACATTCATCCTTAAAAGGTGAAGGAAGGGGGTGTTAGAAGGTAATAGCTTATTTTTTTACTTACTTACTTACTTACTTACTTACTCTTGGAGCTGAACCCTTATGGAGGAGCCACCAATTCTGCAGCTACTCAAGAATTTCCCAGCATTTTATGGAACCTGAAGGTTCATCACCATGTTCACAACAGCCCTCCACTGGTCCCTATCCTGAGCCAGATCTATCCAATCCACACCAACCCATCCTATCTCTCTAAGATCCATTCTAATATTGTCCACCCACCTACGCCTTGGTCTTCCCTGTTGTCTCTTTCCTTCTGGCTTTCCCACCAATATCCTATACGCATTCCTTGTCTCCCCCATTCGTGCTACATGACCTGCCCACCTCCTCCTCCTTGACTTGATCATTCTAATTATACTTGGAAAAGAGTACAAGTTATGAAGCTCCTCATTATGCAATTTTCTCCAACCTCCTGTCACTTCATCTCTCTTCAGTCCAAATATTCTCAACACCCTGTTCTCAAACACCCTCAGTCTATGTTCCTCCCTTAATGTCAGAGACCAAGTTTCACACCCATACAGAACCACAGGCAAAATTATAGTTTTGTATATTCTAATTTTTATGTTTTTGGACAACAGACAAGAAGACAAAAGGTTCTGGACTGAATGGTAGCAAGCATTAGCCCAGTCCAATCGCTTCTTAATTTCCTCCCGAATCAGGTTTCCATCTGATATCGTTGTTCCCAAATATCTGAACTGTGCCACATTTTCAAAACATCTGTTTCACATCTTTATGTCATGATTTTGCTCTGCATTTTGGTGACGAGACAGTAACATATACTTAGTTTTCTCTGTGTTTACTTCTAGACC